TCGTTTTGTTCTTACATTATTTTTATTTCCTTTGTCAACAGTGCAGCTGAGAAACCTAAAAAGTATCAGAAGAGCAAGGCAATGTGCCCCAGATGGAAACACAGAAGCATAAACCAGTCTCTCTTCAATCTAGTGTCCTGAGTTGGTTAAAGAAGTGGTATTTGGTTATAGGGAGCCACCAAGTTTTAAGGGAGCCGCAGTATTAAAAAGTTTGGGAACCACGGGCCTAGAGGGGCACATGACCCCACAGAGTTAAACAAAGATCCCAGTAGAGAAGAACTGAAGCTACAACACCGTTGGGGCAAAAGACAATTTTAAAGTGGTAAAATAAACATATAGGCGAAAAATTAATTTAAAACTTGGGTGCTTAAATTAGGCACAAATCCAAATCCAGACCCTGATTCTGCAGACTCTTACACATGAGAATAACCTGAAATAGGTGAGCAGTCCCACTGAACTCCATAGGACTACTCAGAAGCTTGTGGTTAATCATGTTTGCAGGATCAGGATCTTAACAGACTGTTGATTGTTAAAGGTATTGATCAGCCAGGCACAACTCTCATTGACGTAGCTGGGAGCTGTGGATGCTCAGCACCTCTGAAAATTGGTGCACTCGCTCCCCAGTCCTGCTCCCATTGTCTTCAATGGTGCATGATGGGGCTTTGATTTAAATGCCTAATTCTCAGTTGCAGGGCTAGCTTCACCTCTGTCCCCTTTCTGGTATCTCTGGGTGCACCCACTCAGCTGTTCAGCCTCTTGCCCATACCTGCCTCAGGGCGGATTTTGCAATTCTTTGACTCCTAAACCAGGACCCAGGTACAGCAACTGTGTGTCACCCGGCAGGTCTTCCGGGATTTCAGACACCTGTATTTCCTCCATTCTAGAACCTGTGGCCAGTGATATTGACCAACAGCCTTCTTAAAACAAAACATTTTTATTTAGTAGTTGGAACAAAGTATTGGAGGGAAAAAAGGATTTTTAAAACACCAGACATTTTCCATGCATACATAGTCTTGCCTAATCTTATGCTTTGCTACAAGCTAAGTTAGATAGGCTTTCATCTTAAATTTCAGGAACAAAACAGAACCACCTTACATTCTCTCAGCAAAGCCCTGATTCTCCTGTATGTCTGTGGGACTGTGCCACTCTGTATCTCAAAGCAACCTCTGGAATATTCACCCCGTTGTATAATTATGATATATTTCATACAACATATGCCATGTAAGATATATGAAAAGTCCTGATCCGCTGAAAACCATTGTTCTGTCCAAATGTATATATCGTGAGTGTGTGAAGTTATGAGATTTTGCGATATGGTTATTACTGAAATAGGTTGTAGGTTTGAGAGTCTCTACTGCTGGTTCCCCAGGAACAACAAGGGTGGTGATCCACTCCCAGGAGGGTGTGAAGTGACCCTTAATCAGCAGGGGAGTTGTAAACAATGGATTTGTTTTCTAGGCACATGGACTGAGGATATAAAAGGGGGACAGTGGCATCATGCTTTGGCCCTTATCCTCCCCCACATACACTGGAAGCAATAAGAACCGCTGGAAAGACAAAGACTTGAACTGAGGAGACTGGTCCCAGGCTTAAAGGGGAAGCCTTTATATTAAGAACTATAACATCTAGTGCTTGTCCAAATACTGCCCAGTCTAATAAGGTTTAAGATTTAGACTGTGCACTTATCTTTTATTTTCTTTGGTAACTATCTCTGACCTTTTGTGCCTGCCACTTATGATCATTTAAAATCTATCTTTCTATAGTTAATAAATTTGTTTTATATTTTACATAAAACAGTGCATTTTTGTTGAAGTGCTTGGGAAATCTCAGCTCAGTTTACAAAGGCTAGTTTGTGTCCTCTCCACATCAAGGGAGAGGAGGACTGGGTAATAAACTTACACTGGTCAGGCTTCTGACCAGGGCAAGATGGTATATTCTAGGAGTGCAAGGCTGGTGGCTTGGGAGATTTGCTGGTGCCTTCCTCTGTGTGATTTGTGAGTGGATCAGGGAGCATTCATGCAATTTAGCTGGGTATGGGGCGCCACATGCTGTTGTACTGAGTGATAGCGGTGCCTGGAGGGGTTTGCTGCTTGTCACTAGCAAAGCAGTGTGAGAGACAGCCCAGACTGGAGAGGTAAGGGGGCACAGCAGTTCCAGGTTGCACCCCACGAATCCTGTCACAGGGTCTCAGCATAAAAGTTGATGCTGCAGCTCAGAACGAGCCTCCCAGCCCAGCACAGGTAGCCAGACATGCACTAGCTCTGCTCAAGGCAGCACACTAAAAATAGCAGTGTGGATGTTGCAGCATCAGCAAAGGTGCAAGTTAGCCACCCGAACTTGGACAGTCCTGGTAGGTAAGTGACTTAGGAGCACAAGTCTTCTTGACTTTCAATGGGACTTACGCTCCTAAGTCATTTTGGTGCTTTTGAAAATCCCACCCTATTTTTATTTTACTATTCAAACAACTCATTTTCTAGGGTCAAGTTATTTATTTACAAAAGTAAAATGCTGACTTAGAAAACCTGAGATTTAATGAGTTGTCTTTAAATGTTTCTTTAAAAGCTACAGTATCCTTTTGTGGACTTAGGCAAGTCACAATAAAAAGAAAGAAAGCTAAGCTTTCACTAACATCAATTAATCTTCACAAGGTCACACTTTACATAATTTTAATTAACATCTATTGAGTGTTGATGTTCACTTGCCAAATGGAAATATGTTCATTAAAATACACATTAAATACCCCTGCTATAACATCAGTCGAGAATGTTAAACAGACAGGAGTTGGAATCACTGTTCTGAATGTTCTTGTCAGTGGTGTATGTGCTTAACTTTTTCAAACATTTTCCATTTCTCTCAGCCTGGATAAATGTATCGCAATGCATCTCCAAGGAGAGCTGTTTCCTGGCTAGCATTATAATTCTGCAAAGGGGAATTTTTATAAACTTTGAATTTACACCGTACTGGGTAAAATGAAATTTAAATTAAAAAGCCATATTAAAATAGTATTAGGGCACCCCATGGAATTTATTTATTTGGTCCATTAATACATTTCTGACAGAGATGGAGCAAAGTGCTGTGACTGGGCTAGGGGAGGGAAGCAGGATTTCTATTAAGCAGTAATGTGGTCTGGTGCGTTGCAGCAGTCTCAAGCTGTGGATCAAGAGAATACACCCTAACATTATCTTAGGGCACCCATGATTGAGTCACCTTGTTACCCCACATGACTCAGCAAGAGAGAGAGACTTGCTGGTGCTAAATTGGGTGTCAGCTCCCTGTCACTCCAGTCTGTTAGCCACTCAAACCATCTCCTCAGAAGCTCTGCCAGCCTTTCACCCCTGCCTGCAAGGCAAAGTAAAGTAACTTAAAGGACTTACCGGTACCTCGGAGTCCTGAGCGGGGCCATGGCCTCAACCAGAAGAGGCAGGGCCTTTTAATATTTAAAGGCTCTGGCTGTGGCTGGGAGCCCCAGGGCCTTTAAATCACCCCAGAGCTACCAGCTGCAGAGGCAGCTGGGAACCCCGGGGCGAATTAAAGGGCCCGGGGCTCTGGCCGCCACGGAGCTCCAGGCCCTTTAAATCACTGCGGGAGCTGTCAGGGTTCCTTCCCCACTCTGAACTCTAGGGTACAGATATGGGGACCAGCATGAAAGCCCCCTAAGCTTATTTCTACCAGCTTAGGTTAAAACCTGGTACGCTGCCACCACCAAGTGATTTAACAACAAACAGGGAAAGGACCATTTGGAGTTCCTCTTCCCCCAAAATATCCCCCCAAACCCTTACACCCCCTTTCCTGGGGAGGCTTGAGAATAATATCCTAACCAATTGGTTACAAAGTGATCAAAGACCCAAACCCCTGGGTCTTTGGACAACGGAAAAATCAGTCAGGTTCTTAAAAGAAGGATTTCATTAAAAAGAAAATGTAAAAATCATCTCTGTAAAATCAGGATGGAAAATGAATCTGATTACCCTGTAAAGTTAAAGAGCCCAGAGGAACCCCCTCTAGCCTTAGTTTCAAAGTTACAGCAAAACAGGGATATCTCCCTCTAGCAAAGGTAAAATTCACAAGTTGAGAAAACAAAGATAAACCAATACGCCTTCCCTGGCTGTTACTTACAAGTTTGAAATATGAGAGACTTGTTCAGAAAGATTTGGGGAACATGGATTGATGTCCGGTCCCTCTTAGTCCCAAGAGCGAACAACACCAAAACAAAGAGCACAAACAAAAGCCTCCCCCTCCCCCAAGATTTGAAAGTATCTTGTCCCCTTATTGGTCCTTTGGGTCAGGTGTCAGCCAGGTTACCTGAGCTTCTTAACCCTTTACAGGTAAAAGGATTTTGGTGTCTCTGGCCAGGAGGGATTTTATAGTATTGTATACAGGAGGGTTGTTACCCTTCCCTTTATAGTTATGACAGGAGCCCTGCGGCCGCTACCCCAGGGCAGCAGGGCTCCAGCGGGGATTTAAAGGGCCCGGAGCGCTGGCCGCTGCGGGGAGCCCCAGGCCCTTTAAAGTGCCACCCGAGCCCTGCTGCCGGAGCTCCGGCGGCGTTTTAAAGGTCCTTGGGTTCCCCGCAGCCACTGGAGCCCTGGGCCCTTTAAATCACCGCCGGGGAAGCCGGTCCAGTCCGGCACGGTGTACTGGCTCTTGCCGGTATGCCATACCGGCCCGTACCGGCTTACTTTCACCTCTGCTTGCAGGTTAACTTTATGTGCACCCCAACCACAAACCTCCTTGAAGAGCATTCCCCTGTCGTATCCAGCCTCTGAACTGGATACTCACAGAAATTACCAAGCTCGCTGTCTCCAAAGCAACAGTATGCATGCTAGCCTATTAGGTTCAGCTGAGGGTTTACACTTTACTTACTATTTCAGCACTGAGATGAATTTATAATAAAAGCAAGAATAAAAGTTTATTAATAAAGAACAGAGGTTTAGGTGATATCGCGTAAGGATAGTGGAAACAGAATTGGTTACAAAAGAAAAACACACTTCTAAGAGACTAACCATAACTTTAGCAGGCCTCACTTCTTTGGCTAAAGCAGTTTCTTCACCCTCCAGTCTGTCTGCAGAGCCTGCTGGTTTTCAGTCAAAACCAGGATCCATAATGGTCATGAATCACTCCACTCTGCCAAGAGTGTTCCTCAGTGAAATAAATAACAAAATGTCCTTTGCTTCTCCTTATATTTCCCCCAAACTCATTGTTTTTACCCCAGAGACACACCAAACCCCTGTAGTTTTAGCCTCTGGTCTCTTCCCATGCTGATTTCACTTCCCCTCTGTGAACCTGGCCTTTACACTGCTTGATTTACCTCAGAGATCTAGGCAGGCAGGTAAATCAACATTCCTTTGTCTAGGACAAACTTCTTTATCAACCCGGACTGGTTACATGGTTTAAACGTATTTTTAGTACATACAAATAATTTCTTAATGATCACCCATACATACTCACACAATGCTTATGATTAGGACTACGATTTTGTCACAGAGAACATGGAATCTGTGACTTCCAGAGACTTTTGTGACTTGAGCCTGCAGCGCCTGGGAACTGAAGGGTCCCCCATCACCTGTGGGGAACTGCAGGGCCCTGAGCTCCCAGCAATCACAGGGCCCCCTGGGAGCTTGAAGCCACCACGGGCAGCAGGGGCACCCCAGGAGCTTAGAGCCACAGTGGGCAGGTGGGACACCCCTGGAGCTTAGAGCCGCCGCAGCCAGCCGGAGTGTTCCGGAGCTCCCGGCTGCCATGGGCCGCCCTGCAGCTGGGAGTCAGGGGTGGTGGGGATACCAAGGCAGCTCCCAGCTGGGGGCCCCAGAGGTGATGTGAGGACCCTGCAGCTCCCCATTTTGTCATGCATATTTTTAGTAAAAGTCACGGATAGGTCACGGGCTTCCGTGAATTTTTCTTTATTGCCCATGACCTGTCCGTGATTTTTACTAAAAATATATGTGACAAAATCTTAGCCTTACTTATGATGACCAGTATAATATAAGCTTTCATTTGATACCTCACACAACCTTCTTTACAGAAAAATCCTATGACAGCAATGTGTTTGAAGCAGTGAGTTTGTTAGGCCTCATAGGAGTTGCTGACACAACTCAAAACACGTAAAACTTAGGTCAACATAGCTACGGCACTCAGGGATGTGAAAAATCCACACCCCTGAGTGCCTTAGCTATGCTGACCTAACCCCAGCGTAGACACAACTAGGTTGACAAAAGAATGCTTCCGTCGATCTAGCTACCATCATTCAGGGAGGTGGAGTTCCTACAGAGATGGAAAAACCCCTTCTGTTGCTGTAGCCTGCATCTACACTGTGGGGTTACAGCAGTGCTATCCACTGTAGCACCCATTGTGTAGATATGGCCTGAGAGGGACAATATAACATAACATACTTTTATGACATATAGAAACAAGTCAATTATAGGGCACAACATTGACCTGGTGTGGTCACTTTGGAGTCATCTCTTGTTTTATTTAAAAATAACAAAAGTGTTTATGTCTCATGAGAAATGCCTGACAGACTTGATGCCCAAAATTTACAGCAGTGAGCTCATTTCTCAGGGCTTGTCTTCACTACCCGCCTGGATCGGCGGGTAGAAATCAATCTCTCGGGGATCGAATTATCGCGTCTCGTTGGGACGCAACAATCGATCCCCGAATCGATGCTCGTACTCCACCAGCCCAGGTAGGAGTAAGCGCCGTAGACGGGGGAGCCACGGCAGTCCATTTGCCGCCGTCCTCACAGCGGGGTAAGTCGGATCGGATACGTCGAATTCAGCTACGCTATTCGCATAGCTGAATTTGCGTATCTTAAATTGATCCGCCCCCGCAGTGTAGACCTAGCCTCAGAAACAAAAAGTAGCAAGGAACAGGATTTAGCTAACAAGCGACCTTTCTATAGAACCAGCCCCTGCTGCCTTTTAGCACTGGAGAAGTAGTAGGTTTCTGACCTCAAAAATACCATGGAAATGCTACCTGATTTTCATTTAGACCGTTCAAAACTCTTTTATTTTTGCTCACACCTGTTTAACTCAAACACTTAGGCTATTTTTCATTAAGGATCCCACACGTCTGTCCCTTTAAAAAACTAATGGCAGAGAAAACCAGCAGTTCACATCTATATGCCATACAAATAATCTTCCAGCCAAAACAGGGAAAGCAGGACTTAATATTCCAGATATTTCTTAGGTAAAACATCAAGCAGAAAAAACATTTAAAAAAATTCAAGGGGTGTTTAATGAATCATACACAAGTAAAAAAGGGCACTACTTTTTTTTTTCCTTTCTGGGTCACTTTTAAATATTAGAAGGCTCGAGTTTACTTGACTGTATAATTAGAGATACTTTAAAAGAATATATCTTTGATATAGCATGCATTATTACACATTACATTTGTGAGAGCGCTATCTACAGACATTACAGATCTATTATTGGCAGTGGTATCTATAAAGCAGTATGTGTTTTGGCTATATTCATAATGTGATCACATATTTCTTATGCTGACTATATGTTGTCATGCTGGACAGCATTCATGCAACAGCAGCTGGTTGATAAGACATTCAGAGAAATTCTCCACCAGCCACCTTACTCCAAAGGAGAGTTCTAGGTATGGCTTAATTTTTGAAGAGAGAGAGTCTGATACACAAGTGTTTGCCAACTTCAACACTCATGGCCTGAAAGCTCTATGCTCCTCTTCCTCTAGGGTAAAAACTACCTGCCTATAGAAAAGTTTTATCATAATTTGTCTCTTCTTTGTTTAGACTATCCTTCAGAATTGAATAGAAAATTAACCCATTCCTGCTCTGCAATTGGATGGGATGGTTAAAAATAGAACCTATAAAAAGTTTAGAATTTCTACAAGTTCTTAGAGTGATTTTTATTATACATTTCTGTAGAACCTTATGGATTTAAGACCTGATCCTGCACTGTTGAAGTTAATGCAAGCTTTGCCGTTGTAGTCAATAAGCCTTTAATCACTATAACATTTTATAGGACTTTTCCATAAGCATGAAGAAGTTAATCACTTTCTGGGTACTGTCTGCTTCATATTATTTATCAGTTAATTATCAGTAGTTAACTCCCTGTGATGTGCATGGGGCTGTAGAAGACACCAGCAAAGACAGTCCCTGCCCTGAGAAACTTACAATTTCTTCTTTTCTCTATAAAATGTGACAAAAAATAATAGTAAGTTTCAATTACATGGTGCCTTATAAAACATATATAAAGTATAATCATATATCAAGGACTGAGGACTCAGTGGCTCAGAGGGTTGGTAGTGTATAGCACCTCTCTAGGTAGCTCTCAATATTGAACTGCAGATGGCTGTTAAATATGCAACGAGAAATACGTGTGCCCTCTCTGTTGAGTTTCTAGTGACCATGCACAACAGCCACCTTCAGAACGGTGTCTTTGCTGGAAGTCTTGATTGACAAGTGAAAGGCAGAATTGGGCATGGGACTAAATGGCCCTCTGGGCCCGAGAGGTGACTCCCTCAGCTCAGGATCCAAGCACTTTGGTAGGGAAGTTTGCATTGCTGCTGTCTGTGCTGCATCCATTCTGTGGTGCTAGATGAGCACTACCTGCACTGCAATTAAAAAAAAATCTTCTATGTTTTAACAAACAAAAATATTTCTTAACACACACATTAATTATTGTTAATTTGCATTGCAACCCAAGCTCCCAACCAAGGATCAGGACGCCATCATGCGATGTGCTATAGATACATGTCGTAAAAAGACAGCCTCTGCCCAAAAGAGTTTACAAGCTAAGCAAATGTTCTAAATGTATGATGCTTCTGAGCCAACAAGAATGGGCACCCCAAAAGCCATTGGAAAAATATGGGTATCATTTTTGTGCCTCTGGAACTAGTAGCCAGCCCTGTTCTTTCAGACCTAGTAGGGCAAAATGGTATGCAGGATGGTAACAGCTCAGTGAAAACATGAGACCCAATACCAGTTAGGGATTTAACTGTTCGAATTATAACTTGCAATTAAATCTGTGAATCTACAGGCATAAAGCAAAAGTAGCAGGAAAATTTCCAATATTCCCACTGCCCAGGTACCCAGCTGTTCTTACGCCCTCTTGTTGGTCTTAACCTTTTTTTCCCCAAGGCACTCAAGTGAATGCTGACAGCATCCACACCTTAAAAAGTCTCTCTAATAAGTTAGCTCTTCTGCACAATTAGGTATTAACTAAATTAAAAGAACAACATCCTAGGCCTTGTGCTTTTTTATAGAGTCTTGTAATGCTGCTTCCAGGTTCAGTGCACCTGCAGAGCGAAGGCTGTAACCATTCACCACAACGCATACAAATCAGCAGACAACATAATGTTTAAAAGCAGCATTGTCCTGGTTATTGAGAACGCCTGGACTCAAATATTTTCACCAGAAAATCTTATTATATTTCTCATATTGTAACACAGCTGTTCATAACTTTCAAAATTCAATCTGCATTGATAACACCAGCCAAACATTCCAGCAATATAAAAGTTCCTTATTGTTGACAGGGTAGCCTCTGAACATATTACTTTCCTTTGTACCACAGTAATCACACAAACAATGCAAAAGCACTCTGGCTAACTAAAGCATTTTGAACCAGAACTTTAGAAAATGGTAGTCCTTTTAAATCATGGTTACCCTTGTTCCAAAACCTAGTGGTTCTCGCCTTTGGTGTATTAACTAGGGCTGTCAAGCGATTAAAAAAATTAATCTCGATTAATCACACTGTTAAACAGCAATAGAATACCATTTATTATAAATATTTTTGGATGTTTACTACATTTTCAAACATATTAATTTCAGTTACAACACAGAATACAAAGTGTACAGTGCTCACTTTATATTTATTTTTATTACAAATATTTGCGTTGTAAAAAACAAAAAAATGGTATTTTTCAATTCACCTCAGACAAGTACTGTAGTGCAATCTCTTCATCATGAAAGTTGAACTTACAAATGTAGAATTATGTACAAAAATAACTGCATTCAAAAATAAAACAATGTAAAATTTTAGAGCCTAAAAGTCCACTCAGTCCTACTTCTTGGTCATCCAATCACTCAGACAAACAAGGTTGTTACAATTTGCAGGAGATAATACTGCCTGCTTCTTGTTCACAATGTCACCTGAAAGTGAGAACAGATTGTTCGTATGGCACTGTTGTAGCTGGCATTGGAAGATACACTAAAGATTCATATGTTGCTTCATGCTTCAACCACCATTCCAGAGGACATGCTTCCGTGCTGATGATGGGTTCTGCTTGATAACAATCCAAAGCAGTGCAGGCTGACACATGTTCATTTTCATCATCTGAGTCAGATGCCACCAACAGAAGATCGATTTTCTTTTTTGGTGGTTTGGGTTCTGTAGTTTCTGCACCAGAACGTTGCTCTTTTAAGACTTCTAAAAGCATGCTCCACACCTCGTCCCTCTCAGATTTTGGACGGCACTTCAGATTCTTATGTAAGCAGAGTCAGGATGAGCTCTACCCTGACATCTGGTGGTGAATTATGGTGAGTGTGGAAAAGAACTTCAGGGGCTGATCTTGTTTGCATAGGCACACCCACCCGCCTGGCATGAGACAGCAACTGAAAGTGGTTACTTTGGCTGGTGTGGGATCCCCAACACTACAGTGCAAATAAGTGATGGTCACATAAACACCACCCTATACCAGAAACCTACTGACCGCTATACGTATCTACATGCCTCCAGCTTCCATCCAAGACACATCACACGATCCATTGTCTACAGC